CCTCCCTCCCTGTGTGTGCCCACTGCCCTACCCAGTGCCTGCCTCCCTCACGCTTCAGAACTGACTCCTCAGAGCTTTGAAACTCCAAGGACCAACCCAGTAACATATTCTTCAATGCTACTTCCTAGGGGTGGCAGTGGAGTTTGAAGACACCAGTCCCAACAGCCTCACTTTCCTATTGGGAGTTTGGAAGTTTGCTAGACCTTTGAGCCTTTGTAGTGAGAAACTGAGAGGAACACTTAATCATGACTCCAAGACCTGTCTTACATGAGCAGGTGTCAAAATGCCAGGCTTCCCAGGATTCACTCGAAAAGTCAGCCTCTTTTATTTCAGTGTTTAGTTAAATTCAGCTCAGCTTTGTATGAACCTCTCTGTGTGCAAGATGCTTCGTGAGGTGGCTGAAGATTACCATGCACAGCACGGGTGGGCAATCTGCCTCAAGGCATCTGCGGCTTAGTGTGGGGGTGACAGGCAGAGGCCGGAAGGGACAGCTTGATGTGATGTCCCGAGTGAGAGAGGCACCGAGAGCCACATGAAGCACAAAGGAAGGACAGTGTTTCCACTTGGCATAAGAAGGAAGCTTCATGGAAGGAGTGGCATTCTGTCCCTTTTCACCACAAGGCAGCTGTATTAAAGGAAGGGACAAAGTGACACCCCTCTAGCCCAACCCACCCCCCACCTCCGGAGTTCCATGGGAGCACCAGCCAACAACATGACCTTGAGGTCTCCCTGAGAAAAATCTAAAAACTGTATTTTATCCCCAACTGCTTGCAGCTGTAACAGGAATCTGCTTGAAAACCAACAATGTTCTGGATCTCTGAGGCCTCTTTTGTCAGCCCAGTTTAGTCTTTTGGGGTCCTACCCTGAGAGACTGTACTGTGGGTTAGAACACGGCAGTCCCAAAACCTTATCATTACTTGAGGTTCAGCTGCAGGGTCTGTGTCAACACTGGTGTCTGAAATCTGTCACCAGCCCTCCAGGGACACTTATGACCAAACGGCTCAGAGAACCTTGGCTTGTCGGCCTTTGGAGGGAGCACCAAAATATTCAGCAGAACAGATTCCTTAAAGATTAGCTCCTTTGCAGCCAAAATGCAAATGAATAAATATCCAGCCCACTCATTTCAAGCAATGACCAGTTACTATAACATCTGTTACAATGCAACTCAGTGACTTGGACAGCCTTTTGGGGGTATTTACAATGGGATTTCACCTTTCTAGTGGAATATATCTGCTCTTATCTAGGTCGGCAGTGATCTCCATGCCACCAACTGTCCTCGTCTGCCCCCTTCCCAGCAAAGGGCCTGACTGATGGCTGTTCCCCCTCAAAGGACCTCTTCTGGCTTCTGTAACACAGATCTCTGGTTTTCCTCCTGCCTGTTGGCTGGTCCCTCACAGCCCTCTTTCCTGATCTCCCTCCAAGTGTTGACTCAGTACATGGGCCCCGCTTTTTTTCTTTCTACACTTGTCCTAGGTCACCTCACTCATCTCCAAGGCTCATCTCCATAAACGTCTCCATACCTAGAGCTCTTCACCAGGCTCCGCATCAGTTTGCCAGAGGCCCGCTCTACATCTCCTCTTGGATCTCTCCTGGCATCTCAGACTTCACTTGTCTGACACAGCCCAGTTCCTTCCAGGCCAATGGTACCTGACTGGCCACAGAAGTACAGCTCATATTTTACAGCAGCTATCAGCCTCCCAAACGGTTTCCCCATTCATTCTCCCTCTCTCTTTCTTTCTCTTAATCCTCTCCTGAGGATATGTTTTCACTGATTTTTTTTGAGAGAGAAGATGGGGGAGAGAAGCATAGATGTGAGAAACAGCGATCGTTTGCCTTCCCGTATGTGCCCCAACCAGGGATCAAACCTGCAACCTTCTGGTGTACAGGATGATGCTTCAGCCAACACCCTGCCAGGGCCATTATCTCTTTTCATCAGCTGTTGTTGTAAGGATTTTATTAATGCACAGCTCATGTGGCTCTTGGTATGCCCAGAAGCCCATTCTCATCTCTTGCTTTTCAGATGGGTTACACTCCCCTCCATGTGGCCAGTCATTATGGGAATATCAAGCTGGTGAAGTTTCTGCTACAGCACCAGGCAGACGTCAATGCCAAGACCAAGGTATAGGGACGCCTGATGCCCGCCTCCTATATTGACACTCTTAGGTGCCAAATTAGGATGCAGCCAGAGTGACTCTGGCCACAATTTTGAGCTATGACCCTGGAGGAAGAAATGGGGAAAATGCATTTTTTATGTTGCGTATAGAGGATGGATAGACTCTGTAATGTGAGGGCAGGTCTTTCTCTTGGAGCTAGCTAATCCTGCCAAAATGTCTACCTCACTGTACAGCTGGGATACAGCCCCTTGCACCAGGCGGCCCAACAAGGACACACAGACATCGTGACACTGCTTCTCAAAAATGGTGCTTCCCCAAATGAGGTCAGCTCGGTGAGTACCCACCCAGTTCCTGATTTCGGAAAACTGCTCTCATGGGCAGCCCTGTGAGACATCCCTTAACCACATGTTCTTACTGCGTGTTGGGCCTGGATGGGCTGTGGTACCATAAAATCGTAGCTGCCTGGGTCTCTAGGCCATGGGGTGCTGTGATTAGATTCTCTCTCTGGTGAACTGAAGGTTATCTTTTCAAGCATCATTTACCCTCCCCCTTTTATTTTTGTTTAAATAGAGTTGTTGAACTCCTTTTTTAACTATGTGAACCTGTTTTCAGTGTGGCATGAGGACCAAAACCAAATGTCTTGGTTGGCTCATGATGTTTCAGGCCTCAGGGTTGTCTTTAGCAACATCAGTAATCATTGTTGAGTATGGCCTTCCTCATCTGACAACGCACAGGTAGTCCTAGATCATCTCCATGGCTGCTTCCAGCTCGGAGATTGTGCAGACTTTTGATTATTGATGTGGTTGCTAAGGTTCTAACTGTGGGTGGGGCTGAATCTGTGTGGGGCCCGGGGCATATCCTGGAACTAGAGAACTTTATCAATTTACTCTCACTTCGCTCTTTCTCTTAAAATCAGAGTAGAAAATACTTCCCTCCCCTGTTTCTGGTAGTTCGTGATTTCTTTTTTTTTTTTTT